AATGCTATAAAACATCCCCTTTTTTATTGGCTCTTCACATACATTGCAGGCTCCAAAGCATGAGACCTACCTCCTTAGCTTGGTCCAAGGCAATCACGTGGAGCAGACACAACATTAGAAAACTGCTTATACGCTGTAAACCTCTCATGCTAGGTAGTAAGCTCTGTGGCCCATCTAATCGCTTGTGCATCTGTTGCTCTGTTCAGAGAAGAAACCTTCCACCCCAAGAGCATGTAACAGATGGGGATGGGCAGTTACTAATCAGTCACCACTGTCATTCAGCTGCTTAGGTTGGGAGTGCTGATTAACCATTAATTATAGGGCCTTTCTTGTGCGTCTGGTGAGTACTGGGTGCAGCTGAGAGGATACACCTGTTCTGGCAGCACCAGGAAAGTACCCATTGTATTGATTAATTAGCACTGATTTACCCTGCTGCTAGCCCTCAGGGGCTGGACTTGGGACTCAAGGACGACGTTCGGATGTTTGTGGCCTGGGCATTGCACTTGGTCCTTTGAATTGCACCTCAGTGTTTCATTACCACTGCATTGAAAACAAGTTCTTGCTACAGGGACTGTGGTAATACAGATGTGGTACTTCATAGCCCGTGTTAGTGATTTAAACTGCCTTTCAGCAATGCACTCTCTATGGGAATAGGTAACCTAGGCTGGGAAAAGAAATGAAAAGCAGGAAACCAGGATCACCTTCCACACCCACTGGGTTGGGGGCTTGGTACCTGAACCTCAAGCAGTAATGAGCAGCCTGTGCTCCATGTGGAAGGTGAGACGGGCAGTTTTGTTCCATTCCCAGGGAGCAGACAGCTAATCCTAAGCAAATAAAATACTAAAAACTGGTATCAGCAAGAACGAACACTCCTGACTCTTCTTAGGGACAGGAGGGGAGAAGCCTGGGGTTAAAGATACAACTCGGTTGCATTATCCAGCCTTCTACATTTTGAGCTGGCAAAGACACAGAACTAGCACGGTCTGGTTGTCGGAGGAACTGAGGACCCACAGCTCCCTTTGGGTCTACTTATCCCCAAATCTCAGGCACCAGCATTACAAAAGGGAAGGAAATGTCAGGTTCTGGCAGGCAAAGGGGCAACCTAATGTACTTGCAGATTCCTGCAAAGGGGCCACCTAATGTACTTGCAGACTCAGCCTAGGCACAAGAAGCAGTTATAAGAAAAAATAAAAGGCTTGGCCAACCAGTTGGTCAAAGATACATATTCAGCACCTGGGAAATATAGGCCACATACAGTCCTCAGTTTCTTCCAGAGAAGTTTTTCCTTCTCTTCTGCAGCTGTATATTTGCCAAGTTTTATGTTGTGCCCAGGCTGACCCAAATGCATCTCCCTGGAGATGCCAGAAAGAAATATTAACACAGTCCACAACTTACAGAAAAAAAAAATCCTTTCCTCCTACAATGGTGTTTCTAACAGCGGTTGTTGTTGTTCTTAATCAGGTGGGCCATTTATGAGAGTTATTCTGGATTCACATCAGTGTAACTGAGACCAAAATTTGGGCGACAGGCATCAATAGATAAGAATTCCACAAAAATTCCTCTGTGTGCAATTCAGGGAAGCTCTTTGTGTACACATGCCTGATTGCAGCACAGGGGTATTCCTGCAGACATCTATGAAGCTGTTACCTTTCCAGTCATTGTCATTGCTGCCTTGCAGATTTGTCTCGGAGAACCAGGGCCACACAGAGATTTAGCTAGTTCCAACATCAGGAAAAAGGCACAATTACATTCTTCATTTTTTTTAAAGAAAGACAAAATGTTGCTGCAGTCAACACTCCCTCTCTCTTTTCTGAGACGATGATAATTATTTTTACCTTGCATCAACTTTTAGTTTAAATACAGTCCTAATGCATTATGACTAATAAGCAAAAGCATGACTGACCACAATCACTGATTTCATCTGCGGACAGAGCAAACCTCGGGGCTGCCCTGAAATGCATGTGGGAGGAGAAGATGCAGATCACAGTCCCAGGTGCTGTGGTCCTGCCTTCCAGGGGCCTGCTCCTTTCTGGGAGTTGCCACGGGGCAGAGAAAAGGAGATTAGATTGGAGGTTCGTTTTGTCCCTGCCCAGAACCCCCATCCTTTGAGCGTTGATTCCTCTCTGGCTGAAATCACAGACGATGAGTGTTGGAAGGGACCTCAGGAGGTCACATCTAGTCCAAGCCCCTGCTCCAAGCAGGACCAGCCCTAACTAGATCATCCCAGCCTATGTTGTAAGTGTGCACACCTTGCACAGCTGTGGACTTTGTAGTACAGTCTGAATTGCGGTGGCCTCCAGCGTGACACCCAGAAGCCGCACAGGACTTTCCCATCACTGCCCTAATCAGAAGGGGCTTGTGCTCCCCAGCAGCGCCAGGAAGACCTTTCTCAGCAGCGCTTCCTCTGAAGCATGCGGCGATCATCCCTGCTCTCCCTAGGCAGCAGCAACAGCAACATACGGAGGCACCCAGCTGACAAGGGGTGATTGTGGCACCGTTTGGAAATCCCCCTTGGAGCTGGGTCTTGGTACTGCTTGGCTGTATGGTCGTGAGCCACCTCGGCAGCTCCTCCATGTCCAATAACCTCCCTTGGCAGCGAAGGGAAGTAGTTACTTCTGCTCTGCACACTAGGTTAGTGGATTCCAACCTTAATAACATCACGAGGACCATTACCGGATGCCCTATGCCAACCCCAGCCGACTGCTTACCAGTCCTCTCCCCAACATCCAGAGACAAGCTGCTACGTAGGCATCATAGCCCCAGATCCAGGCCCTTCTTTGCACTCCAGCCTAGTACCTGCAAGCCAGAAAACCAACAACCACCTCAAGTCTTGGAGCCCGTTCTCCACTCAGGCCTATAAGCTCACTGAATCTGCAGATGGCATGTCACCGACAGCATGGACTTCCCATCCGTCAAGCAGGAAACATGCTGCACAAGAACCGCAGATAAAGAACTTCATCCCCAATATCCACCCCTCGGGTTGGCAGCTGTGCCGCAGGGCCTGGACTGCTCCTAAGCATCTCAGAATGGGCCCTGGATGGTTTAAAGCAAGCATGCCCTCTGGAGATCTCTCCAACACTGGCTGAAGCGAAGCTGTGGTACTCAAGCTCAGACAGTTGACCGTATCATCTATAACTGCCCTTATGGCCCTCCTTCCAGTGACCAAGATCTTATTCACATTGACCCTTCTACCTGTTGCTGGCTTTCTGGCCCTTGTGCTTCCACCATATGAGTCTGGCAACACTCTCACTTCATCACCATCATCATCATCACCTCTGCTCCCTGGCAGCACTCACCCAGCCCAGAGGGTCTCCTCATGGCTGGTCCACATTGGCCTCACAATTCACTGGGGACCTGGCAGGTATGACCTTTTAGAGGAGCTTGTGATTACCCTGCTAGGGTGATGCTCTTATCATGCTAGCGTGGGGACAGCTCACCCATTTCCCCACCCCAAGGGTTTTTAATGAAAGTTAAGGAAAAAAATCCATTTTAAAAAGTCTATTCAGCAGCCTCCTCTGCCTCTGGGCTGTTCGGGTTTTTCCCGTCGTTCTGGATCATCCGGACGATGTGTGTCAGGTCCAGGCTGCGGGTAAGGATGTTGAGCAGCAGCTCATCCTTCTGCACGCCCTCCATGAACTCCTCCAGAGAGAGCTCGCCTACAGGGACACAGAGCAAGGGGGCTCTGTTACGCGCTGGAGCTCTTGGCCGCAGATTTCCATGAGCTTTGGGGAGTTGTGTCTGCACAAAAGGGGCCTGTCCGAGACTCTGGGCCCCTCGTGGGCTGACTTCCAGAAGCACAAAGGAGCTACTTGCAGAACAAGGGACTCCCCTCATCTCCTCAAATTCAATCCCTCTCCTCAATAGGCACATAATAGGCTGCAAGTGTGGCAATAGGTCATGAGAAGAGGGACAGTTTCACAACTAGAAAGGTCCCAAGCCACTTGGGGTGTTATAAAACAGGGGTAGAGCTTGAATACAATCTGGAAATCAATGGAACTTATCAGTGGAGGGATGGAAAAGACCTGGAATAAGGGGCGTGCTCAAACATACCCCAACTTGGTTTTAAATCCTCTTGGTAAAGGTCGGCCTCTATCTCATGGCATTCGCCAACATTTTTTCTCTTTCTTACTCCAATCCCCCTAGCTAATCCCACTGGAGGATTTTGGTCCCTTAGGAATATGCACATTTGAGTGCCAGTGCAGTGATAAGAGCTTGAGATGCTGATGTTACAGCCATGCTCATTTTTGTGAGCATAAAGCCAGATCCAGGGAGCAAAATCTGGAGCCTGGTTAAGGGGTTGGTATTGTTACAGTAGAGCGCACAGGCCAGTAAGCCACAAAGGAACAAGGAAGAATGAGGAAGAGAGGAATGGACAAGGTAGATGGTACCCACTTCTTAGCTTGCTTAAAAGCACTAAGGGACAGATTTCTCCTTCCTCTTTAGAAAATAACCATCCACATCAGCTGAAGATCTGGCCTTTAAGATGCTCTCAGCTGCCTTGTTTTACATCCCTGCTTCTAGGTGCTCCAGCATTTTCCAGAGATTTGGAAGGGAGAAGGGAAGAGTTAGCATCAAGGGGCAAGACCAGCACACAAAGTTTCTCACCATCTCCGTTGATATCAATTTTGTCGAACACCATGTCTGTGAATTCCTCGGCTGACATGGATTCGTTACATCGGTTAATGGCTCGAATAGCCTGGAGGAGAACAAGAACATGGAGAATATTGACTGAGCACAACACGGGGGTTTATGGCTTGGGGGTAGCAAAGGTGTTTAGCACAGCCATCACATTCTCATGCCGTGGGCTAGGCTCCGAAAAGGACATCAGGCACATTAAGAAACAGAGCTGAACAAAATTTAAAATCCATTAAGAGATTAAGTCACTAAAAGGGCACATTCAAGAGCCTTTCTCTGCTCCCAGTCTTTAAGCAAGTTCTGGCAGCTGGTTAATGTGGGCTCACAGGCCTCACGCTGGCATTGCTGAAGCTAACGGCAGGTTTCTGCCCTGGCTAGGAGTGTTTTCCTCCACATATATGGCCTGGGCCCTGTCTGTGCACACTTGTGGGTATCCAAGGGGGTGCCGATATCACTCACCTTGATGATATTTAATAATTCTCCCCTGTCAATGCAGCCATTCCCATCCACATCATAGAGTTTGAAATACCACCTCAGCTTCTGTTCCACTTTGCCCTTCAGAACCAGGCTCAGAGCCGCCACGTACTCCATAAAGTCGATGTAGCCATCCTAAAAAGGACAAGAGCGGGACCAAGTCAGGCGGGAGGTAATTTCTTTCCTGGTGAATGGGATTTGTGAGCTAACCCCAAGGAGAGAAGAGGACTTGGAAGAAGTAGTATTGACCAAACTATGTGCAGATCAGATCCCTTGCAAGGCCTGTGAAGTCTTAAGTGGAGGGTTTGAGGCAGTGGGTCGTCCCCCTGGGGTTCTTATACACTGGCTTGAATTTTAGACAGAAGTTAGTGGGATACGGTGAAAGCTCAGGTATGGGGCCTACATATGAGAGTAGACAACTACTGAAAGAACCAAGGCTTTTTCTCTCCCTGCTTGCTCTGTTAAATTACAAATGTGCCCCAGGCAAAGCTGCCTCCATCCCAAAAGGGCAGAAAAGCCTTGAGGAGCCCACCAGGAACTCCACTACTGCTAATCTCCTTCGCAGGAGCGTCTATATGAAACCCTTTAATAGGTAAACCCTGAGTTGCTCCATTGACGCAATCTCCAAATTTACAGAAGCGTGACGGACAGCTGGATTTCTCCCAGCTCTTATGGTTCACTCATAAGTCCTGACGTTTGTGCGGGGCCTCCCACCCTGGAAAGCTCCTTACAGAGCTGGGGGCCTAATTCACCACTGCTGGACTCCAAGGTATCACAGGTGTAACTCCACTGAAGCAGTGAATATACGTCAGCGTGAGCCTGGCCGTGCTGTGATGGCTTGGGAGGGGAGCTGTTAGTCTTGGGACCGTTCAGCCATTACTGGAAGGCAGGCACCTGTGACTGGAAGATGGCAACCCAGGGGAGGACTCTGGATAGTAATAAATAATCTCAAGCGGGAGCTAACGGAAAGCCTAGACAAGTCAATGAAGGCTTTCCACTGATGTAAATGAGGTCTGGAGCAGACCCATAAAACATCATGTAAACAATAGCCTTAAAGTTCAGCTTCTTGTCTGGCCCAGTCCAGTGGGAATTTGCCTGTTGACCGCTCTGGGAGCAAAACCATGTCCATCCAGAAAAGCAGAACAGCCCACCACAGCGATTGCTGCTTGCTTTGTGCTTTTGCTATTAATGGTAGCTTGTGACAAGGAGGAATATACTTTGTTTGAACCAGCAATTGGAAATAAGAGAAAGCTAGAAAAAGGGAAGCCGGGCATAAAAAAGGCCAATAATGCATAAAATGAAAACAGAAACTATAATACAAGGAGCAATAATAAAACTGACTTTATTTTTGTAAAATGTTGCATTGAGTGGATTTATAATTCATTGTTATTCAGTTGAGTGGAAACTGCAGTATTACTCCAGTTCTATTTTCTACCTTAACAATAGGCAGTTTGGGATTAAAAGTTATTTTATTATAAAGAATTTACAGAACACCAGACAAAAGATGTAGAAAAGAGAGAATCTTTCAATTAAAAATAATTGAAAGAAAAGTGAATATAGCTTTTCTGCCGAGCTTCCTTTTTTCCCCCGTTACTTGCATTTATATAACACACTCACAAGTGATATTCATTTAACAGACTGACACACACTTCTAATATGTGATCTTGATTCTCCAGCATCTCTCAAATTGTACAGGGTAGTCATCCTACATGTAATGAGTGTAGAGCCAGGTATAAAGGGCTACCGCCACTATCGGCAAGGGACAAATTTGCATTTTATATTAGCACAAAATCACTATGGAACATACAAGACAATGGAGAATCAGACCATAGCACATCACATGTGTGTGCACACACAAATCAGGAATGGTAATACCTACCTTATTGAAGTCAAAAGTCTCAAACATTTGTTCCATGTACTCATTGGATGCTGGGCTCAGATTTTTCAAGCCAAAAAACTGCTTGAACTCATGCAGAGTAAGCTGGCCTGAGGGACACTCCGTCATGAACTTCTTATACCACTGGTGGCACTCGGTGGCACTCAGTTCTTCGACTGATTTTCCATCCATGTTCCCCATTTCCACAAACAGAGACTGCTGTGCTTCTCTGGAAAAGTAGCAGCCGTTTCTAATCTTCCTTTTTTCCCCCCCAAAATTCTGGTTTCTGTCTTTCAATGTCGAGAAGAGCCAATACTGTGAGATTTATAACGCAAAAAGGGAACCAAACCACCTAAGCCCACAGATCTTTCCAGCTCAGTGTCATGGGTCACAGAGCGCCGTCAGGCACTTCCCTGGGGACAATTTTAAACTGCACAACCCTCTTCAAACCTGGTACTTAAGTACCCAGCAAATCCTTCTTGGGCCAATAAGGGATGGGCCAGCAGTGGAAACCCAGCAGGGGCATCAGGAGTTCAGGGTTAAAATAGAAAAGAAGTAAAATGTAGAAGAGTCTTTCAGATTACAGCCCCAGCAGGAGATTATGATCGAAGGATTTGCTCCAAGTTGGTGTAATCGCTTAATCCACTTCAGTTCTGACGTGGTGCCAGACCATTTGAGTGACAACCCTTGCACTAAAATCGAACCAAGAGAGTAGCTAGTAACAGACTCAGAAGCCCCTTGGCTATTACTGCCTTGTTATATCTTCCCTAGAAGCCCACTATGCCCGAAGGAGAATTTCAATACCGGTCAATAATTTCCACCTGAAAAGTCGGGGAGAGGAAGAAACGATTCAGATTTGGATGTGCTGGGACAAGATCAGGAACAGAGAATTGCTTCCAATACCAGCTAGCCCTGAGAACAGGCAGGATGCCTCGAGAGCGTATCAGCTGCTGGTGAAATCTGCCTGCGCTGTCGACTTCAACAGTGTTATAACAATGCACATCAGCATCTATCCCCAGTTCTCATCTGCTCTACAGCACTGGCAAAAGGCCCTCACGTGAATAAAGACAAGGTCTGCTGGTGTTGTCAGGTCTGAGATGCAGCAATCGCAGGAGGACTGAAAATACATAGATCTGAAGGAAATGTGAAGAGCTGAGTCCTCTGGCCCAGTCTGAATGAAGCAGCGCTGCTTTAGGGCTGCAGCAGCTGAGGGCATAAAAGGGGGCTGTGCTCGAGATCCTGAATGCAGTCAGCCTGTTCTCTACACAGGACAGAGTTAGGGCTGCTCTCCCCCTCATGCAAATCAGGGCTATCTGCTAAAATAAACAGGTGGAATTACAGGAGGGTGCGTTTGACATGAAAATAGACCTCGGGATTAAACAGGACACACTAATCCAGCATTTGGCACATACAGACTCCCTGCTTCTCAAGGTGCTTATCAAGGTGGTGGCTTCTTTATCTTTGGTTTATGCACTAAATTCAGATCCGTGCAGGATCCTGACAGGGGAAACAGGAATCTCCAGCCCAGGAACCCATCTCAGATGTTGGTAAGGCATCTGTGTGAGCCCAATGGTAAATGTGCATTGGTTCTCAGACGTGCCCTCGTCTCAGAGGGGTAGTGAGCCCTGCAAACACTGAGGCATTAACCTGGACACTCCTTCCCTCCCAGATGAGTAGAAGCATTTTCTGAGCTTTCTGAACAGTGAAATGCAGTGATGGAAAGGCAATCCAGTAGCAAAGCAGAGAATAACGCTCCTTTGGGCCTCAGCTCCCCTGCAGCACAAAGCCAGGCTGCGATGCTCCCTAACCTCACAGGAGTTTAAATCAATTGGGGCACAAAAAGTGCTCCAAAATCCTCGGATGAATGGTGCATCTAAAAGGTTGGCAGCATTTGTTCATCGCCCTGCTCTGTTAGTACAAGTCCGAACCCCACAGTTTGCCCGTTTCTCCTGTCTTGTAATAGCAGGTGCGGTTTGTTCATTTTACTACGGCACGGAGTGCATGATGACCCTTTAGCCACAGGAAAGGAGGGTCTGGGACACCAGGGTCCCTCCAGGTAAAGCTAGGAAGAGCCAAGCTGCGTAACTCTTGTTTCTGTTAATAACTGAGTCAAACTACAAAAATGGGAGAACTTTTGGACCATGCACCGATAGGGTATGCTCTGTTTGGAGCAGGAGGGAGTCCCCTTTTCTTGCACTGCTGCAGAAGGCACAGAATAACTGGTATAGCTGTGCCTTTTGCCAATGCAGCTGAATCTTCAAAGTATTAGAAAATTACCCTGCTTGCCCTGTGCAGTGTGAGAGGTTTTGATCCTGCACTCCAGGTCCCACTGCAGATGCTCCATTTTTAGTACCCAACCCCATTTGTAAGGCATGCACAAAAGCTGCCTTCTGACGTGCTGTGTACATCTCGCCCACCTCTGCAGAGCCTACTACATGAAGGGGCAATTCTGCTTTCCAGGCTCTGACCAGGACGGTGGAACAGCTACAGAAACCAGCTCCTAGGAAAATCTATCCCAGGTTTTATGCTGAGCCCAGTGCTCCTTGGGGCATGGCTATGGGAATTTATTGCGCTTCGAGTCTCAAATGCCTTGATTGAAGGCATTCCCAAATCCCAAAGGATATGACAGATGTGTTTCCTTATATCAAACATAGTATGACACTCCAGGCAATGCAGTTCTGTGAGACTGAATGCATTTCTTGGTGAACAGCATGACTCAGCCTAATAACCCTTCTTTGACTGCCATGCCACTGCCACGCTATGACAGACACCGGCTGTAACCACAAGATGTTTCACTGAAATCACCAGCTGGTGGCAAACCTACCAGCAGGAGCTGTTGTGGAAGAAGCTGTGCAAAGCTTGGCACAGCCATGTGCTATACAGCTCCAAAAGATGCAGCTCCTGCAGCAGCTCTCCTGGGCGATCTGAGAGCCGGGCAGATGGGCTCTTCGCTGCCTTCTACTCTGTGCCCGCAACCCAAAAGTGGGTTGCAAGTATATATGAAAGGGTCATGAACAAACTTTAAAAATGGGTTCTCCTTTAAAGGAGAACAATGTGGATAACCGTGGCTTTTCCTTTGGAGCTGGCAGAGCTTTAGCCCCACCATGTCCCACACGCTGAGGGGCTGGGGCCGGGGGGCGGAGGGTCAGGAGTGAGGGGCACTGGGTGGGGACTGTCCATGGATGTTTATAAATGGGTCCTGACCCAAAAAAGGTTGAGAACTGCTGCTCTAGGCTGGACTGTCTTGCATAAACAAGACGCTCAGGCATTGCATCCTTGCTTTGGGTTTATTGCAGCCAAACATGGATCTTTTCCCAGTGGCGGATCTCCGTTTCACCACGTTCACGGTCTCAATATCCATCGCCTTCCTGGTGCGGCCAGTGTCCTGGCAATACCCACAGATTGGCTTCTGCGCTGTGTAAAACAGGCTGTATGAACCTGAGTTACTCATTTTATAGAAGACAAACTTGAGCAATTCTGGCCTGTAGCCCCCGGGGTGAACAACACCAGGAGCAGTGAGGCTAACGCCTGGTCCTTACAGCACGCTGCTGGTGACAAACGCTCCTTCGCGACGCAGGACTCCTCCAGTGCCTCGGAGATTTCCTTCCCCGCGGTCTCATGCAGGCTCTGGCAGGAGCCCTCTTGACCTGCAAAGAGAGAAGGCAGATGGACACACATATGAGTCTCCTGCCCTGTAGTGCCTGCAACCCCAACGCAACAGGGCTGTGCCGGTGCCCGTCAGACAGAGCAGGAACAGCCGTGAAATGGCTGATTCGGTGACACTGAGCGATGCAGGGTCCCGATATCTCATAAACAGTGAAAACCAGACGCTGAACCGACTAGAAATGATTTGGGACTTGTCTTTGTCACCTGTGCTCCTCAGGATGGTGCCCTAGGAACCAAATGTAAACTGATTTGATTTCCCCCCAAGAAATTATCCTCTTTCCTCTTGTGCGTCCAAAATAAACTCTTTAGGGACTAGCTTTATTTTTAACTGTACAAAGAGGGTTCCTGCTTTCCGTGATGCCCTGGCTTATTTATCCGAGCTATTTTTGTCCTTTCTATCTGGCTCTGAGCAGTCGGCCATAAACCTATTAATCATGAGATAGGGCCGTCAGCCAAACGCTGCTATACATCACCTAGTGCCTTTGAGAGAAGGGAGCCGGCATGCTGCAAAATTAAGCTTGCGCCTCTCACCTGTTCCCCAAATGTAGCTAGGGGCCCAGTGATGCTCTCACTGCTGGATCCGTCTCCCTAAGGAGATCTTTCTTTCTCCAGATGTCTTTCTTGTGCCAGATTTAGCTGTCTGAGGACCAGTACTTTCTGCTGTACCACAGCTGCAAAGCCCCTCAGATGGTGGCTGTGGTGGAGGAGGAAGAGGTAGGAAATCTTCCCTCCACATGAAGCTCGAGGCAGGGTTGAGGCCTTGTTTCCCCCAGTTGCTTTTTCAGCTGGTTTCACACATCACTTAAATGCTTTATGTTCCTCTGGGTGGAAACTGGATTAGCAAATGCCAGTGATGCAGCAGGCCTTTACCCTACCCTTTAAACAAACATGCCTCCAGCAGCGAACAAGACACATCTCTCACATTCCCTACCTAGAACAAACGTGGGCAAAGAAAACAACTGCAAAGGGGCCGACTGCCATGATGACGGAGACCGCGCTCCTCCGCGTTGCCGGCCCCAGGCATTCAAACCCTGTCAGCCCCCAAGGGTGATGCGCCTGCTTTGGACATCACCTGTTTCAAATAAAATAGCGCAGGGGACAGAAAAACAACCCCAGGGATCCCACGGTTGCAGCAGAAACAGGATGAGAGTTTGGAGTCAGGAGCTTGGTGACGAAGGGGGAGAGAGCCGTGGTGCGTGAGGAGGGAGCCAGCATCCCGGGGGCATTTATAATACACGGGGACATTTTAGCGGTCTGTCTGATGCTGTACCTGCAAGGCTCCAAGAGTCTTATTTTCAAGATCACCTCCATAACTAAGGTGCCAACATCCGTTTTCCACGAGATTTGGGTTCTTACCTGCCTGAGGCAATGGTTCCCCCACTTTTGGCACTGAGGGAGCCACCAGCCTTCCTTGCACGCCACCCTGCAGCCCTATCATTCATTGTGGACTGAAAGACCTGAGGGCACCTGGTGCCGTACAAGGATGACCCATCCTGGCCTTGCAGACCATCGCGGGATTGTGGAGAATGGCTGGGGGACTACATAGGGAGTTAGTCCCCACGTAACTGTTCCAGCGAGGATATGGGCTGTTTCCCAAGATGATGCTACCGGAGCCATAGGACTCGGTGAGCGTGGAAGCACTTTTCCCCACTGCCCCACAGTACAGACGGGGGAAAGCCGGGCGATGCCATCCCCCTTGTCCCACATACCAAGCAGTGTGTTTCACCCCACGAAGTGAATCAACTGCACTGCGGCACGGCTGAACCGTTCCCTTCGGAGACATCTCTTTGCATCCATTTCCCCTCTCCGTTTAGGTGGCGCTGGACCAATCTGAGTGCAATACGATGCCATCCATAGCTGGAGCATTTCCAGGGCCAGTGCATCCCACTGGTACTTACTGCTTGTAGCTCATCGCCTTCACTCAGGATCCCAAAACGACCTGGCATGTGTTGCTCACAGAGTGATTTAGTTGTGTCCCCAGTGCTGGGCGTGTTCCTGACAAGGCTGCCTGCCCAGGCCACACCTGGGCTCTCAGCCCCCTACGTGCCTCTGAGACTTGGCCTCACTGCCCTGATATTCCAGGATCCCAGCTTTCCAAGGGACGGACTCCGCTTTGCCCATTAGTCCTTAGTTTCTAACCCCTGTAAAGTTCAACATGCCCCTGTTTTTCCTCTCCTTTATATTTACAGGTGTGATGTCACATCTGTGAAATACAGCAAGTCATAAAGCAGTCACAACCAGGAAGTTTGTCTTGTTCCTGCCTATGAGTTACAACTTCAAACTCTCACAGAGAAATCAAAGCAGAGACGCATTACATCCCACCTTTTTAACTTATTTATTCTTTTACGTGAGCTACTCACAAATAGTCAAGTTACTTGCCATGCTGTTGCACGAGTAATATGCCTTATATAAGAAATATTTTGTAGGAGCGCTGTGTTCTTGAATTATGCAACCCACTGCAGGTGCTGGGCTTTCAACTATGCCACGAATGTATACACCCCTTTCCTGTAATAAGTCATCCAGGAAATGGACTTGAGGTTTTTTTATCTTCTATTGCAGTCTGTATGGCATTGTCCCCATCTTGACTGCTCTGTCTGTGAACTTTAATGACTTTGGCAGCTCTTTACATTCCAAATGAAAATGCGCACATTCCACATATGCAACGTTGTTCCCATTTAGCCTTAATTGCATGTTTCTCGGTAGTGTTTATTTCTGAGAGGAGCCGTCGAGTAGCGGGTGATGTGGTTCCCGTGCGGGGTGTCTGTGCTATTTTGGCTGGAATTCCAAGTATCCCTGGGACAGCTGTGGTGCCAGCACATAAACCTGCTTTCAAAGGATAATGTCAGGAGAGGTGCAGTTCGAGATGTCCTACGGCAAGGTTAGGGGAAGCAAACAGGCGTTCTTATATTGTCAGGCACTTGAATGAAAGCGACCTCCTTCTCCCAAGGAAGTGCCCATTTGGAAAATCAGGCGACTTGAATTTCAGTGCTTGATTTCTGGAGCTCTGGTCCTGAAAAGAGCTTGCATGTGTCTCTGTAAAGCACGGTCCTCAAGAGAGGATTAAATATGCCAGGCTGCTGGTTTCCGTAGTTATCTGTGTCACTGGGAGTGTCCTTTGAAGGATGCAGCTAGCACCCAAATGCACCTTTCTGCTGCTGATAAAAGCAAACCCAGCCAGACTGTCCCTCTCATGGGCTCATGTAAACAGGGATCAGCTACCTGCTGGGCAAAAGAAAATGGCTGTCAGTAGTTGAGCAGTCTCAGACTGTGGTTGTCACTTAGCTGTGATCCCCCTTCCAGCTCCAGGAGCAGCTCTGGGGAACCTGGATGGGCAGGTTCTCAGCTGAGAGGGGTTTCTGGCATCCAGCGATTTCTTTCCTCAGCCCCACGCAGGTCCCGGGCTTTCCTGCCCTATTGCTTTCCAGCACATCCTGCTGCTACAGTATTAGTACACCGCTTGGTATTTATCTGGTGTGTAAAACAGATGGGTTTACTTGTATTAATGGGGGGAAAAAACCCTCCACACATGTGCTGTGCTTGATTAAATAATATTTCCACTTGTATTTTTAGGAGAAGCATGATGTGTATGTTCAGTAAACAGGGACAGAGATGGGAACAGGCTGCGACCCGCTGGGAAGGGATTGCAGTGATTGCTGAAGTAGCAGGGATATCCTGTATCTTGTTGCTACTGGGAAAGGCGTATACAATAAAACTACAGTGCTTTACTTACCAGGGCACAGAGAATGTCCCCCTAAGTGCAGGATTTGGGTGGGATTACCAAAAGAGCAGGCTACTGACCTATCTACTCCCCTGGGATCCCTGTCCAGCACAGCCAGGCCAAGGCTGAAGGAATTAGGAATGTCTGCCCTAGGACCCCCTGTTTTATGTCACCTTTCCAAGGAGAGCATCGAAACAGTGCACACATTCACAAAGCGCCCCAGGAGCTTATCTACACACAGGCAAACCTGGGGGCATCAGTGTTACAAGTTCTGTGCCCAGAGATCCTCAGAGCAGTGTGAGGTTGCCCCAGAGGCGTTTCTTCTGCTGGGATCCAGAGTAATTTCACATTGGAGTACGTCATGATTGTTTTGCTGTCCTGGCTGGGTATTATAGCAGATCTCCAGCTTCCTCCCCTCTTTCCTTTGCACCCAGCCGCTCTGCTTACCAGTGTGGCCTGGGCAGCCTTGTGGGTCACTCACTGGATGTCACCTTCCTAATTAAATGCTGCTGTGCCTTCTTCCTCTTTGCTCCTGTGCTCTCCAAGAGTAAAGAGACTTTCCTGGCACATTTTTTCAAGCTAGCCCGGTGTAGTGGCTGGTTGCACTACAGCCGGAGCTGTGTGGAGGGTCTGGATGCCCTCACCCTTTGGGGAAGGCAAGGTGCAGGAAGTCCTGGTGCCCAGGCGCAGAAACTACACTGTATTCAAGAGCAGCTCAGTGCCTTGCAATGGTCAGTGGTCTGGCTGCCTCCAGCACTCCTATGCGCTGGAAGTGCCTGCACCAGCTTTTAGGGACTTCTCAAGTTCCTAAAACTTCCTAGAACTTCTCAAGGTCTCCTCTTCCTCCCAGCCTGTGAGGCCAGTACTCTCTGAGACTGCTGCAGCTGGTTCAGGACCCACCTGCTGCACCCCTGCCCCTCTCCCTGCAATGATACCGGCACTGCCTTGGATCCAGCTTCCACCTGCAGAGTGGAAGAGGGAAGGGAGAGCAGCAGGGTGCCACAATGCAGAAATTATAGCTGCAAAACTGGGGCCCAGCTGGGTCCCAGTTCAGCACAACGCGTGAAACCATCTAGGCTCTGTTGGACTCGAATGGAGTTCCTCGCTGACCGTAACGCTGCTAGGATCTCACCCCTGCCTTGCACTTGATCTGCCAGTCTATGCCCTCATCTGTGCACTTTTGTGAGAGCTGGGGTCAGTGATCTGAGTTATGCTTTAACACTAACCAGGAGTGCCGTGGTGGTTATACATACAGCACTTATGTATGCCATAACAGCTTCCCCCTTTATGGAAGAACTTCTCTTAAAAGTGTGGTTAATTTTTCTCACTCTGTATAATTTAATTGACTTCTCTTTGGAACAGCTCCTCTTCTCCCTCCCTGGGTGCCTTGGATTACTCTGTCTATATAGACTGTATCCTGCTAAACTGGTTTGATCAAACATTGCACATACCAGGTAGCAGGCATGTCTTGCGTATCTCACAAAGATATCATGCCCTATTTGTTTATGATGTCTGCATCTTTGCATTTGCCCTTCAAAGGCTGGATATTAAGCAGACATTAGTAGGCTGTAGGGGGCTCATGCCTTTGGTCTGACCTCAAGTCGCGAGAGGTGCTTGAGGATTTCTTTGGGACCTCGCCAGGGTGGGCTCTGGCAGAGTGCCACCGCTCTTTCCACAAATCCCCCTTACAATAAATGTCTCTGTGCGACTCCATCCTATCGCCTGCCTTATCTGCAGACCCAGCTGCTCGCTGACTTTGACATTGACTTTGGCTTGAACTGCACCTGAGTGTGACTTCCTGCATGTGAGCAGCCCCTTGACCTTGCGGGTGTGGACAGTTAATCCTACGTGCTCCTTAGTTCATCACAAGTACAAGTGGTTTTGAACACAGCTGTTAAAGTCCTGATTTTTACCACCCTGGGGTCTCCTCTTACTCAGAGACAAAGCCCTTTGTGCCTATGTGGAGTGGAAAAGGACGGCAGAGCATACAGTGAGCCCTGAGCTGCTTCCTTTGGACTCCTGTTTGATCCCACAGAGAGAAGCTAATGTTGTGCAGAACCATTTCTAGCAATTTCCCCTCTGTTTAAGCGGTGCTGGACAATTCTGAATGCAAACACTTG